TATAAAATCACATAAAATATACACAAGTTAAAAACAGACTAAAAAACCCAAAACTGCCCTGCCATATATTATATATACAGAAAGCCTGCCGGCATAAAAATGTCTTCGTCTGCCGGCGAAAGGCCAGCAGTGAAGGGGCCAGCCTAGCTTCCTATGGAAGGGCGTTCAGGGAGTGGGAGCAGCCACCGAGAAGGCTGTCTCTCTCGTGTCTTTACCAGGCGAGCCTGCGATCTTGGCGGGACCAAGAAAGCCTCCTCCTGCAGAACTACAGTTCCCAGAATTCCCTAGCATTGAACCAGGGCCCTCGTAAAGCGGTCTGAAACTGGATTACCTGCATTTCTACAGTGTGTTTTGGACCTAACATGGCCATGACTCTGAATTCGGCCTCTAATAAAAAGGCTGTACTCTGCCCTGAAGTTTCCAGGCTGATCTTTTCCCTCTTCCTTAAAGTTCCTTCATTTGTAGGTTTCAACTAATTGTTCCTTCAAGATATAGGTGTTTTTAAAGCATACCAGGGCTGCAGCCACACTGCAGAAACAATCCGGTTTGACACCACTTTAACTGTCACGGCTCAAGGCTATGGAATTCTGGGGATGGTAGTTTGTTGGGGCACCGGAGCAAAGCTTATAAAAGCTCTGGTGTCCCATCAAACTACCATTCCCAGAATTCCATAGCCTTGAGCCATAGCAGTTAAACTGGGTTATTTTTGCAGTGCGGAAAGATGCACCCAAAGATACACCAGCTACTGTACAATAAATAACATAAATCTGACGCACAGTTTTAACATTTTATTTGTGAGCTGCCTTGGGTCCCTTTTAGGGAGAAAGGTGACATCAAAATGAAATAAATAAACATTTAAGAATGTAGCAAGATATGTTGAGCTGAGGTGCATATATGTGCGTCTGTATAATCCATATAGCAATGGTGCATAATTACACTTCCTAAATGTCTCAAAGGAGTGGTTGAAATTCTGGGCCCTGTTCCACATATGTACTATGTAACTGGGTTACATGGCATCCTCTTTATTTTAACAGAAATAGTGCACATTAAATTGAGGCACTGCCCTGGCTTAGTACTAGGGAATCATGGGAATTGTACTTTTTTCTGGGACATTGAGCCTTCTCTGTCAGAGAGCTCTGATGCCACAATAAATTACAGTTCCCATGATTCCCTAGCACTGAGACAGGGCAGTGCCTCAATTTAATGTGCACTATTTCTGGCAGTCCGCTTAGGCCCATAGTCACCTCTGTGCAAGCCTTGGTATTTTGGGCTCCTGAAAAAAATCTTTGCTAGTCATGAGGTAGGCAAGGGTTTAGCAAAGTGCCCTTCCCTTCTCGTAACTTTGGAATCTGTTTGTTTCAGTTTGCATTACTCCACCTAGGACTGTAGTATTGCAGGTGGCAGGCACTTATTCAGACGCAAGTCCCACTGAAAATACAGTAGTTTCAAGTTATCATAGTCATCTAGTTAGCCGTTAGTCTGTTTTAGTTCCATCAGATATGTAGGAATCCAGCAGCACCTCTGAAACCTTGGTCCAAAACACACTGCAGAAAAATGATCCCGTTTGAGACCGCTTTTAACTGCCCTGGCTGAGTGCTAGGGAATTCTGGGAACTGTAGTCTTGTGAGGCATTGAGCCTTCTCTGTCAGAGATCGCTCTGGTGCCACAATAAGCTACAATTCCCAGGATTCTATAGCAGGGAGCCATGGCAATTGAAGCGGTGTCAAACTATATTAGCTATAGAGTGCAGCTGAGACTATAGAACTCCTCTCAAGTCCTAAGTCCTGTGTACCCCCCTTCCTCCTCCTCCTCCTTCTCCTCCTCCTCAGGACCTTTTCTGACTGAGGAAAATGGGTGGCTCTTCCCCCCTCTCCACCCCCTTCGTTGCCTAGGAACGGGGAGCGCGCGAGGCCAGGCCAGGCCAGGCCAAGCCAAGCCCCTCGTGCGCGGGAGAGGGGTCCGCGCGCCCAACTGCCACTTTCCCTCCAACCGCTCCCGGGCCCCACCTTGGCAGGTGAAGCCCCGCCCACCCGGTCCGAAGGCAGGTGAAGCCCCGCCCATTTCGCGCTCCTTTTGGTGGAGCCTTCCCAAAAGTTGCCTCAGGAGCTCCGCAGGCCAAGAAGAAGAAGAAGAAGAAGAAGAAGAAGAAGAAGAAGACGGAGCTGACTGGAAGGTAAGTGTGTTGTTGGTCTTGCTGTGGTGGTGGTCCTCCTTTTCCCGGACGCGTCCTCCATTTCCTTTTTACTGCCCAGGTGTGTGTGTGTATGTGTGTGTGTTGTGTGCTTTTAAGTCGTTCCCGACTTATGACGAACTTGGGGTTTTCTTGACAAGGTTTACTTCAGAGGGGGGTTTGCCATGGCCATCCTCTGAGGCTGAGAGAGTGTGACTCGCCCAAAGCCACCCAGTGGGTTTCCATGGCTTGAGGCAGGATTCAAACCCTGGTCTCCAGAGTCCTAGTCCCGACGCTCAGACCACTACTAAGCCATGCTCGCTGGCCCTGTGGCAAAGTACAACAACACCCAATATCCACAAAACAGGGATAACTTTAAGGAGACAACCAAAAAAAGCACAAAATACATGTCATCCATGTACACCGAAGTGTACTAAAATGATCCAGCAGACACACACACAACTGTTAAAAGACTGCATTTTGAGGCTGCATCTACACTGCAGGAATAATGCAGTTTAATACTACTTTAATTGCCCTGGCTAAGTGCTAGGGAATCCTGGGATTTGTAGTTTGTTGTGGCACCAGAGCGCTCTGACAGAGAAGGCTAAATGCCTCAGAAAAACCTACAATTTCCAGAATCCCCTAACATTGAGCCAGGGCAGTTAAAGCGGTCTCAAACCAGATTATTTCTGCA